AAGAGTGTTAGCTATTGTACTCTATTGGCAAGTTGTATGCATGAATGGACAAAAATAAAGGATTTTCCTAAAGAAAAATCCAATATACATGCACGTTACCTCCAACTGCTAAAAAACGTGCGGATCGTCCTCCTATTCTCACAGATGCTAGATTGAGGAACTTATTAAAGATCTTTATGCTTCCTCATACAATCGGCATTTGTCCTACTAACAGTTAACCATGGAGATAGACTTCAGAGTAGGAAAAAAATGCTTTCCAATGAAACTTGGCTAAGGAGAGCTTCATTAGGCAACTGGCATTACGAAAGCCCCGCATTTCTGAATGCAATTGAGTAGTGTACTTACAATCGGCTCATGAGTATCTGAACTGGGTAATACCTTAGTGGTACTCAATCCTATACACTAGTGAGACAAGGGTTACTGGTAGATGGCATACTGGGACATGGATTACAAGAAAGGTTGGAGAGGAGTGGGATGCTACATGTATAGTAGAAAAGCATCAAAGAAAAGGAAGATGGTTGTTTTGAGGCTGTTTTTATAGAGAAAGAAAAGGTCCTGAAATATTCAGAGAGAAATATTGGGAGACGATTACCTTAGAGAGTTACTGTAAATACACAGTTCCAATTATTCATAAATATATAGAATTGTGTCATTATAACGGAGTATATTTACGGTGTATGCAGAATGGAGTACCCAATCATTGTTAGAAATACTGGAATCTGATAACTAGGAACCACTCCAAGTAGGGTAACTCTACTCGGAAATTGGACTCTACTTGTTTCCAACACCCCACCTCTGGCACCCTCTGATGGGGCCCACTCATCATTATATATACTTCTCTCGGTTACGTCCTGTGACTATAAGGCAACAGAGTTCAAGATGTAAGATTAATATTATATCTGTTGCTGTTCTCTCTCTGACCAGGCTGTGATCACCAGATATATGAGAGGGGTCCTTCAGTGAAGTATAGGCAGTAGAACAGCGTGAATCTGTCAACTACTCAGACAGTCACTAGGCTTCAAAGATGTAATGTCTTGAGTAAGGGGTGTATGTAACAGGACATTTTAGTCAATGATATGATATTGAATATTAAAGGATCTCTACAAGAGATCAATGCATTTGCACCTACCTTATGATAACTAGAAGAGTCTAGAATTCCGAGAAATACTGCTACAAAAGTCCACTGACTCCATGAAGTATTACAACTGGGCCTAAGAATACATTGTGGTTACAGGAATAATTCCCAATACTAGCCCAAGAACTAAAACCATGTTATCTAGAGCAACCAAGAGTTGTTCAGGGTAGAATTATCTGCCAATTCAGTAGAATGGCTTCTTGCAAATGAGTTGAAAGTTATCTGAAAGATATCTATTGGTTAAATCCAGAATTATAGAGGTTAAAAATCAGGTGACCTAGGAAGGTTGAAAATGATACTACTTCTGCCAATACAACGCGCAGATAAAACTAATCATTGTATCAATAAGGGAGACAATTGAGGCCATCTCAGTTCAACTTGAGAGCTATGCCATAAATTTAATGACTCTGAAGATCGGATAATTACTATTGGGAACAGTATAGCTTCTAGTTAGCAATATCGTAATTACCGAAAAGGTGCCATAATTTCCTGGGTCTCCAGGTGTTCGCACCTTTGAAGGATACCCAAGGTTTGAGTTATAATTAGAGTGATACATAGTTTTTATAATAGACGTAATGTACAAATACTCAGATGCAGAGTATAAATATCGAAATGCCTCCCAAGCTTTTAGACATCATCAAGTAACAGAGAAGAGACCTTAACAATATAATATTTTTCTTATGATTCTATCCTACCTTACCTGCTTCACCTTATTCATAGTAGTCATAAACAAAACGAGTATATATTTCAAGCCTTCCTAGACAATCTCCATTTACCGAACTGATTCTTGATTAAATTAGACAACTCTGAGTCTTTACAGGTTGTCTCTGCCTAACAGGAATGCGGTTGGAAACACAGCAACTGAGCTTCAAGAGAGGGGAATTCAGTCGCATGGCCTTCCTTCTCACCTGACCTGAACCCTATTGAAAGGGTATGGCATATGATGAAAAATTATATACAGGATCCTGTTCCAGAAAATATGTCATATGATAGGTTACTAGTTGCAGTAAAAGAGGCATGAGGCAACATTGGGCAGTCTGAATTCCAGGTATTGATAAACAGCATGCCAGCAAGGTGTCAAGTGGTTATTGACACCAATAGTCTCTTTACGAAATATTAGACACCGTTTGGATACAACTGGTCTGTTCTTTTATGTTCTGTTCAGTAACCATTCCTTGGAAAGAATGGTAATTTTGTAGAGGAATGGTTACTGAGCAGAACAGAAATTTTGTATCAAAACAGACCCTTAAATATTGTCTTTTGTAATATCCTGAGGTTTATAGAAAGAGCTTGTCTTTTTTGTATACCGTTATTGAGGATCACACCTGCGATCGATAAGTCAAGTACAGTACATCCTCATGAAAATTCTTTTCCACACCCCCTCTCCCCCACTCCTACCACACCTTCAGGTCTCTATGCCCAATCAATCTAGCCCATCCATGCTAGCAATAGTCCTTGCTAGCGCCATATACAAAACTTTAGGGAAGGACCTCCGTAAGGTGTGTCGGTGAATCAAGTGGTGTTTGTAGGTCCGGTGGTGTCAGTACTGGTGGTCAGAGTAAGGGGGAAATGAGGGAGGAAAGGGAAATGCATAAGGGAAAGGGCAAAAAAAGTTCTACCAGCCTCAGCTCAGACAGGCTGATGGAGACAGAGTATATTGGGACCAGTAGTAGTGGAGAGTCGGATGAAGAACATGCTACATGTATTCCTACTTAATGGACAACTGAATGAGGAGTCAATACTGCCTATGAATATTTGTTGAGATAAAAGTTCTGCTGGTGATAGGAATAGGAATAAATATTGTTTATCGTTCTTCAGATAGTGGTACAGTCGTGTCCGTAAAGTCATCATACCACGGTGGCGCAACCACACAACTACAACACCTCTCCATGGAAAATTGAAAAAAAATTCAAACAACTCAATTAAGAAAAGTATATGAATAGAACTAATAAGCCTTAAGAAAATATTATTACCACTTTGTATGACCACCATCTGCATCTAGTACAGCCTGTATTCTCTCAGGCATCCTATCTATCCACCCATCCAACTTCTCTTGGGAAATTAAATCCCATTCCTCCTTTGCTGCCTGAAATAATTCAGCAGCACTGTGAGGCCTCCTATCCAACCTGGAGAATCGATTTCTGAGGGCTCTTTTGAGCAGAGCCTAAGTGTTCTCAATAGGATTGAGATCTGGTCAGTTGGGTGGCCAAGGCAATTTTTGATAACCACAATCTGACTGCAATTTTCTGTTTTCCTCACCACCATGCCAGGAGGCATTGTCTGCTGCTAGGTAGATGTTGTCAGAAGGTCTATCCAGACCTTCTATAAAAGAGATGAGGTATGGCTGCTGGACTTCAGTTGCATATTGGTGGGAATTGAGGCCAAGTGTGTCTCTTTTGCTGGTCCTTTCTTCCTCCCCCCTCTTCCTTACAAGAATTAACTCAGTCCTGCCACCCTTCATGATTGCAGCATAGATCCCAATACTAGTCCTCCTGGACTTAAAGCTAGCCTTCAAGTTTTTTTCTTCCAGCTCTTCACCAGGTCTAACTCTGACCTTCCTGCTAGTAGGATTTCGATCATAGATAATGGTGGCTTCATCCACAAAAACAACCCAATTCCATGCATCCCTCCAATTCCTCCTTCTCCTAGCAAACTCCTTTCTCTTCTCCTTCTGTCCTTTCCTCCAAAAAGGGTTTTTTCTAGGTATCAGAAGCTTAAAACCAGCTTCTGATATGATCTTATCCACAGATATCTTTCCCAGACCAATATTCGCTTTTTTGGTAATATCTCGTAACACTAAATGAGGCTCGGCATCGATAATGGACTCCACTATCTTTTCTTTTTTGAGGGGTAATTGTTCTTGGTCTTCCAGGTCTAGTGGCATCATGGGTATTTCCATCTCTTGATTTAGCTCTTTTGACTACAGATTGAACAGTTGCCTTAGAGATACCCATAACCTTAGAAATTTTATTATACCCCATATCAGTATGTTTATACAGGGCATAAATTTCCTTATTTTGATCTTCTCTAGCTCTTTGGGTATGTGGGAGGGTCATGGTAGAGGTGGTTGTTGTGGGGATGGAGGACAACACCGTTGCCACGCTGGGGTATGAAGACTTTACGGACACGACTGTACCCGTTCCAGATACCCCATTGTCCCTAATGGAATCCGTGGAATTTGGCCATCCGGATAGCGGGGTGTGAATGTATGCGCTAGTACCGTCGCACCTCACTATCCCGGACGGCCAAAATCCGAAGGATGCGTCCGGCACAACAAGGGATCCGGGACAACGGGCCAAGCTTTGGTAGAAGAAAATTCAGAGTTCATTGAGATTCATACGAGACAGCGAGGTATCCGGATTATCGAGATCCGGGAAGCGAGGTTTGACTGCAGTCTAATCTCGACGTGGTCCTTGCTTTGTCACCGGTGTCCAAACCCACGAGACCGGAAAAATGAGAAAATCTTCTTTCCCCTTCGGGAATGCTGGTCTCTGGCCCCCAACCCTGTTCCCCAACCTGTCCTCGGTTCCTTTTTAGTTGAGCAGGTGTTTCAAGCGCGAACGGGGAATGAGGCTTTATCTTCAAAATTCAAGTACGGTTACGAGTACCGGTGGTACGGATTAACTTGGCCTATGGAGAAAAGCAAGGGTTGACTTGATAATACCATACACATTAATCCCCTCGTATCAGATTGGCTTGGGGTGATCATGTCTTCCGAATACCTGCGGTACATCTAATATTTAAACTTCCCCTTGGGCATAGAAATAAAAAAGGATATCAGGTTCTGTCAGTTGAAGACAGTTTAGTTACCCAGGCCCGGCCATACGGATTCACTCCAGATCGACCATCCGGATGATAATTTAGGTTAATCTCCAGGACTTTCCAACAACTTTGTGATCCGCTCAACGACGGCTCTGCCTTCCAGCACTTTTTCAAGCTCCTCATCCTTGCGGACAATGTCCCCGTCGACGACCACCCCATCCTTCAATCTCTGCCACGCCCATCGCTCACTCTCCACTATCGCGATGCGACCCTGCTCCTTCACGGCCTGTTGAAACCGCTGTCGTTCCCACCCCCAGCGAGTCTGCAGCCAGCGCATGCTCAGCACAAGTCCCAGCGCTGCGAGGCTGGAGCTCGAGTAAACGGGGATGTTGGATAGGTAGAGCAGGCCGGAAGCGGCTGCTAATGTGACGGAAAATGACAACGACCCCATGAGAAGCCTGTTGGCCGAGGTCTGGAGGTCAGATATCATATTACTGATAACGTTTTCTGTCTTTGTGAAGAGGTGTGTAGGGTAGGATCCCTCAGGTACGTACTTGTCAAGGTTTTTGGAGGTGGAAGAGATGAAGGGGGACGAGGTATCGGCCAATCGGGATTGCGCGAGTTCTTCTGGGGAACTTGGTCGCCGGAATGCTGTCTGAGGACCCCCTTTGAACCCGGCGCCAGCCAGACGACCGGCCAAGAATACGAATGCCCTCTTGGATTGGGGTAGCAACCATGTGCTAACTACCTCCCTCGAGTTGGCCGTGACGTCATCTGCCGTCCAAATCAACTTCCACCAAGCAAGCTGCCCCCACGCGCGAGAACTGAACCCCACCGCCAAAGAATTTTGCAATTCCGAATGGGCATTCTGCGACCAATTCCTCAAACTCGCGGACAAGCTTTCAGCATTGTCAACAACAGCAAAGCATTTACCAACAAAGTGCCCTTCCTTCTCCCCCGCCGCGCGACGTAATCTCTCCTCTTCCCCACGGATCACGCGCTCGGATTCAGCGACGATCGATGAAATCAAAGTTTTGACAACGGGCCGGACACCCCCACTGTCGCTATCGGGCTTCTCACACCCGTCGAGGACCCACTCCTGCACAGCACCAAACCCACTTTGTAACCACTCCCGCTCAAACATGATAGAATTTGCAGAGGAAGCATTTAACCGCTTGATGGCATCTTCCACAATAGGCAGATTGACGATCTTGACTGATCCACTCCTATGATTCCCTGGGACCAAATCCGGCAGTGAGAGCAGTCGGAGCACCCGTGACTTATCATCGTAGGCAGTAGTGGTGGTGTAATCGTGATCTAAGAGCACTTGTAGACCAGCTTCTCCCTCACCTGCGTACACTATCGACTTATGAACCGGGAATTTGATGAAACGTGAGCCAGGAACATTATTGGCCTGGAGAGTTAGGTCGGTAGGGTCTCCCGGGGGTATTGGTGCGAGCAGGATTTCGAGTTTAGAGGGTTTCAGAAGCGGTGACGGAATGGTGAGGAGGGAGACGGGTGAGTTTTTTGGGGTCGATATTTCGCTAGAGGGGCCATGGCTATTATAGGGGCGAATCGATTTGTTAATTTAATTACTATTAAATCTCGAGCACGAAGAAATGAATGATTTTCAACCAATGGGAGGAGGACAGAGGGAAAGCAAAGCAGTGAGTACCATACCGTATGAGCAGCCCCCTACTCCCGCTCTCAGCACACCACTTCCGCAACGCCTTTACCCACATCTGCCTTCCTCCATCTTCACTCTCCCCCCTAGCCAATGGATCATCAAGCAAAGCAGCAGCTACCCTCCCTAACTCATCCCCCTTTCCCAAAACTGTTAATTCGGGTAGCGTGCGCCGCAATCAGCCATCACCAATCCATCATCAATTCCAAAATATTATAAAGTGAGATAGATATCGACTGTACCCACCACCAACCCTGACTTCACCCTCTCCACTCTCATCCGCACTAATCCCCCTCCTAGCCAACAGCACAAGACTTTCTCTCGCAAACCCCCATTTCACCAGCCTAGTCAAAGACTCGAGAATTGCATGATGCTTCGTCAGCGTTGGTAGCGTCGGTGTTGTTGCGGCACGGATTGTAGTCGAGATAAGGCGCCGGTGATGAAAGTGGTGTTGGAGGCGGAAGAGGCTCGGGAGGTTTTGTAGTTTTAGTCCAGTGGTCATTTTGGCTCGCATTTGGTGGATGGAGTGCTGGTTAGTTGATCTGGTCGTGATGGCACGAGGGGGGGGGGTGGGTGGATTGATCAATTGATGGATACCCGTACGTAGATGGGGGTGGGGGAGTAGCCATGAGCCAAGACAGATTGTTAGAAGCAGGAAGGCATAGAATGTCACTCGTGTGTCGTCATCGGGGAGATGGGGTCACAGGTAGGGTTGGGGATTGCTAGGGATTTCGGATGGGAGGAAGGAACTCATGCCGAGCTGGGCGGAGAGCTTCAGGCGGTGAGTTGCTGTGACAAGACATGTATGTGAACGAGGAGTTACAAGTATTGCCTGGAGGGCAGACTATACAAGAACCTGTACTCGTATAGTAAACGGGCCACCCTGAGTTGTCAAAGTCTGCATCGCGAGCATCCTTACCGTGAACCAACTCCCCGGCTACGGATTTCTCAGAGGAGACTATTTTTTTTCCATCCCCCTTCTTTTAGTTCAATCCAATTTCCTACAGCCTATATCTTTGCTTCTTTCGGATGGGAGTTTTACCTCTCATAGTTAGAGAACCAATACCGCCCTACCGCGGTCGAGAGGGATAACCTTTTCGAAATCAATAGTGCCCTCGTGTGTGACTAAAACTTTGCCGATAATGCAATATCATACCCTGGAAGGCCGAGTGAGCCGGTAAAAAAAGAGAGAGGAGGCAAGCGGAGCCCTCTCCGAACCCTCGTTTAGCAGAGAAATACAGCAAGCATTACACAGGGATCACAGCAGGTAGAAGGGGTTTTCCGATAGTGCACCTCTTCTAAATGAATCGTATAGACCGAAATAGGAAATTGCTCGTGTGCACCTTAGTAGGAAACTTATGTCTCCAAGTCACGCGAGCCCTCACTTCATATTACAAGTACAATAATACTGTATCCCCCCGCCATCAGCGGCAAAATGGCAAGGATCCTGTCATAGTTGAGAATCCCTAGCTGAGCGAGCTGGACTGCGCATGAAGGCTAATGCGGTCAAACGGACTCAATGAATCACTACCCCCTCACTGAGCAGATTGGTTATCATACGAAGCATGGGGTAATCATGCAAGATCACTCGCGTCAATAAAGTTTCTGTTTTTGCTATAATATGGCGCCGGGTTCTTACTCGCTAATTTTGCGCCTGGGCACGGGGTCACTACATGGAAGAGATACTCGACGTCCCTAAGATGGAAAATGTATTGAGTACATGTTTTTGTTTGTTAGATAGCCTGGTCCATTTATAGATCTTCCGCTGCCTGAGCCTATATTTCTGAGACCCACGCTAGTCTGTATTATACATCACACAAGGTCTTCTAGGGCCTCCGAGCATCTTCTGTCTCACCAATTCACCTCCCTGTTGAAAAACTCCTTGTATGGGAATACCTCAATACTCCGAAAACTATCGCGACTTTTCTGGACCTGCACTCCAGTCGGAGACTTTGGGGCAGGTCACATCCCCCCTACTTCTGTTGCTGATGCAGGTGGGCTCGTCTATACATTCTCAAGAGGTCTCTCCTCCAGAGTCGCCTTGCTCTTTCTCTGCAGCAACTACCATTGGTCTGATCGCTGAAGCCACAGTTTGGAGCAATAAGGTTTTTAGTATTTCCTTGTTGAGACAACCTATTTTTTGCATCCTAAGTACTGCTAATCTCACCCCACCCCCTACCCCCCCGCCAGTTCTCCACGGGGTTCAGGATTTTCATGTTTGTCTTTTAACAGTGCCAAAGAGTTGTGGTGTAGCCCAGGGACTCTGTTATTGCGGCAATAAGCAGTGACCGTATCGTGCTTTACATAATATGATGTACCTGTCCTTTCAGGTTTCCGACCTTATCCTTTCCAAGGGTCACACTTTCTGGCTTGCGGACGGTAAATTAAAGCCTGGCCTCAGGGGCGGTTGAGAATCCAGCCATTGCTTCCTGACCTGAAGTTTAATGCTAGGATGCTTTCTCTGGGAATACAAGCCGACCGAGTTGGGGTTTTATTTTACATACGCCCGGCAACATTGCGGCTATATTCCTAGAGCCCATCAAGGCACAAAAAAGGTCCAACATGGGCTTCGTAATTATGCATAAGGATAACTATAGAACCTGACCGTAACATGCAATGTTGTGTAAGAAAGTTAAGGAGTAAACGAAGTGATAGAAATATAAAGAAAAGGAGTATAAACACCTCTACCGCCCATGGCCAGGCTGCTTAAACAAGGATACACCATGCACCTCCAGTAGCCCTATTAATGCTATGACAGAAGAAAGGAAAATGAAGTTGACGGGAAACATGAGGGAACATCACCATTTAATACCATGTAGGAAATGAGGGAGGAACTGGCAGGGAAAGACTGGGGCTTATAAACAGAGTGGGGGGAAAGGGGGTGAGAAAAAGGGAAAATACGAGATAGCAGAGGTTGGCGGGACTAATTAATGCAAGCCCGTTGTTTTCGACGGATAACCTTCAGTACCAGCGGTCATTTCATAGAAATCTTCTCCATCGTCCTCATCACTGCTGGCACGGAGATCCTCGTCCTCGTCCTCACTCTCCGCCATACCGTGCTTCCGCTCGTAATCCTTCATATGTGCAGTCGTCATGGTCCTGCCGAGTCGTTCTAGCGCCTGCATGGCAGGAGAGACCTTGGTGCCGGAGCGCCTGCGGCTCCTATGACGTCTTCTCACTGCACACCTCTCGACATCCACTGTTGGAACAGAAGTGGTGATGAGGAGGGGAGTGGCTGAATCCTCAGGAGTTGGGAACGATAAGCAAGGTTGCTCGGGGGTAGAGAAACGGTACGGGAGACGAGGGTCACGATAAGCTCGGTTTGCACCCACACTGGAGAAGGAAATGGTCAATCTCAGTTAATCTAGTAAAGGCGACGGCGGGTGTATACTTTCCGACGTGCTCATTTTCCATGCGAAAAAAGCACCAGATAAAGCGGCGAATTACTTCTAAAGCACCTAGGACAAAACTCAGTAGTGCCGGGTACTGGATGCCGTTGGCATAGATGATATAAAAAACCCAACTGAACCGTAGTATGGGATCAGCCAACATCGCGAAGTAGTAGACCCAACGATTTTTGAAGCCAACAGCATCACGGACAAATGGCCAACTGGCGTACGGGTTGAGAAGTGACCAATCCATGACAATGTCCCAGAATACTTGGTCAAGTTAGCCTAAATGCAAAATAAAAAGAGGACGGACTGACTTGTATAGAAGGAATTTATGGAAGCGACGGCAATGAAGCCGGCTTTGAGGCCTGAGTTTTTGTCGTCCATGCGCCAGAGGCTGAGCATCACATAGTGGAGAACAGTGCAAGCATATTTACCACAATTCGCCAGCTGCGGGAATACCTGCCCAGAGTCACGATAGCGACGAAGGCATTGAAGAAAACGCCATGCAGCTGGCAAAGCCGAAAAAAAGCCCATCAGGCGGGAGTGCGAAGAATTGCAGTTCGCTGGCTCATTCCAGCTGTTCATATAAAGACAGAAAAATAATGCGATATTCTGGAGAGGAAAGGTCAGAAAGTCAGGTGATACGGATTGGGCTAACAAACCCCAAGCGCATAAGTTTGCGAGCAAAGCATATCGGCGACCCAAAAGTCTTTAAACTCGACGCGCTTCAAGCCGGAAAACAGTAATCTTGCCTGTGATACAAATGTTAATTGGAGGAGGAAACATTCTCGTTGGGAATCTCACCATTGTTAAGAGGAAAAACTTTCTCGATCGGAAGTAAAATCGTTTTATTGGGTTGAAAAGCACCGCAGCAGCTAGGGATATGTATATAATGGGGAAATGTATCATATCAAGTTGACCTGACCAGAAGTCGTAAACGCTGAACCAAAAACATATCGCAAAAATTGTAATGAAAAGTGAAGGAATCTGGGAGAAGGTCAGGAGGCTCCTGGAATTTGGGACTGGTGGCGGGGACAAACCTCTAAGAACTGACGATGGTTTAGTTGATATTTGGCATCGAATTCAAAGATGAAAGCGTAATTAATCTTATGTTTTGCCCAAACCCTTAAATTGATTGCAAACAAGAAGACTTGAAGTAGGAGGAGGGAAACGCCACCCCAGAGCTATTCCATGATGGTTAGGTAGGACGTCGCAAGGAAGATGGTGGGGGTAGGGGTTCGACAAAGGATGCGCAAACCTGTAACAAATAGCCGGTTTTCAGGCGTACATCTGGCGCACTGCTGTTAAGCTGGCGCATGGCTTGCCACAAGCCATATGCGCAGATGACCAGCGAAGACCCTAGGTAGAAGCCACTTCGAAGAAAAGATGCGTGATAAGCAGATTTGTTCTCTCGTGTCCGAAGCCTCATAGCTGCCTCTTTCCGATTTGATTTCATGAAAAACCTGCGGTAAATTGAGGGAAGATATTAGCATGGTCAGTAGTAAGGAGCAGAGGTTTGGGAGAACCCCATAGTATACAGGGCTATAAAAGTGGTGATCGTAGGGTGCTACAGGTGAGAACGAGAATCTGAAGAGAGAGAGCAGAAGAGAAACGAAATAAAATCAAAACATCATGAAGGATCACATAACAAGGATATCCTAGGTTTACATACCTAGCGAACAATATTTCGGTCTCATTGATCAAATCATCAAGCTTGTTCTCTGATCCAGCAAAATAGCTCTTGTTAATGTGTTCATTGAGGAACCTGGGTGATGTCCGTAGACCGGAAGCCTTATCGAATTTTTTGGTCATCTTGCAGAAGGCATCCTTGTTGACACAGACGTAGGATTTCAGGAGCTCAAGACGTCGATAATATTCGATGAATGCGCGTTTGAGCCTTGATTTTGCTAGCCGGTGAGTTGGATCGTTAATCGGCTCTCGGCGCTCGTAATCACGCCGTGAGTCCATCCTGTGAGAGATTGCCGGCCCCATCACTTCCTGACTTGAAGACTGGGGTGGTTTAAGCCCAGTCAGTGCCACAATTGAAGTTTTCCATCCAATTCTCCGATGGGCAGATGGGTCAAGGGTGCGTTTGGACGAGTTCTCGGTACCAGTAGAGCTCCAAGCGGAAGACTGTTTATCCATACGTTTATCCACAACATTATCTTCGAGGCGCTCTTCAATAAATTCAAGTCCGCCTGGATCGCCATGGGTCCGAGGGTGGGCCTTTAGCCATCTTAACCTTAGGATTGCCAACTGTTCCTTCATTTCATCAAATCTAACGATGGCCTCTGACTCCCTCCGTTTGTAAAAGTTCTCAATCTTATTCAACTCCATGAGTAGCCACTTCTGGAATTCAGCAGAGGCTGCCAACTGGGCCTCGGTGATATCAATAGTAGAGGTGTCGGTTGTTTGCCACGGCACGGCAAAAAAGGAGGACAGGCGGTTTACGAAAGGCCGTGGGCTGGCAATGGCGGAGCGTCGCAAAAAGCCTGACGACAGGGGTCTAAAGGCACGGGCAGTAATATTAGAGAGTCGACGGCCTCCTGTGTGATCGCGTGAGAATGAAGCACCTGGAAGAGGGGGGAGATCCTCAGCTAATCCGATACTTTCTGGTCGTGAGGGCGGAACCGAGGGGTTGGGTTTGCTGGGTATGTTGGACTCAGGGCCAAGTTCAATGAGAGGTTGAAGAGGTTGTATAGGGTCCGGGAGCATGAGGTCAGGCGGAACTGAGGGGAGATCATCGGTATAACGATCAGAATGGCTGTAAGAATGGGAATCCGCTGACCGCGGTGCCGGCATCGCCAACGCACGGACGCCTACAGCACCATGTGTGTTTATCCAGGACCTAGGCGAATCCGATAGCCCTCCATCATCTTTCATCCTATCCCTCGGGGAATGCGAGGGGATGTCGCCTACATCGACGGTATCCAGAGGGATGGAGCGCCTGTCAGCCGTAACCGGTCGCGGGGTATGTGGTAGAGGTGGGCGGACACTTGAGCTGGCAGTGGAATGGGGTGCTGAAGATGGTCGTGGGGTTTTAGGCGCTTCTTGACCAAGCGAACCTCGCCAACGGTGATGGAGATGATCTCTCGCATAGGCTGTCGCACGTTCACGGGTTCGCGAGAAGCCCGTACGAGCAGGAGCACGGGACGACAGTCGGTTTATACTAATTGCAACAGCCTCGATTTTCTTCTTCCCAACCTATATAGGTGTAAACATTGGCACGGAGGGTTTGAAACAAAATACTCGTAGATGGGAAAACGGAGAGTCACATGGCGACGGAAGACCGTAAATGCAAGCAAAAGCGTCCGGGACCAGTAAAAACTCATTTGAAACCTGGAAAAAAGGCATACCTTATATTGTATATACTGCGAGCTCCACTCAGGAACCATAAGTTCCTCGAGAGACCTGATTACAGACAAGAAGGGTCAGTAAGAAAAAGCCACGTGAGCAAACGGCACTCTCGCCGATCCATGGAGATACTGACTTTGAGAACTTCATCGTAGCACCTAGTTATAATTGTAACATATGAGCAGTGGAGAAGTCGCAAAGGGGTGGGTTAAGAGGACATTCGTGCCTCCAGTATGCCTCGCAGTGAGTAGGTATGAGGATGGAGGTACGATTTGTATACGAAATGATGGGGTAGGGCAAAAAAGGAAAAGGCTAAGACGAGGTGCCGAGCCCGCACAGTAATCCGAGGAGGACTGACGTGGCTAAGAAAGCAGAGAAAAAAGAACAAACTGCAAAGAGATGGCAATAAGGACAGTGACAGAAGAGGATTGACGATACTAGCAATTTGGTTTGGGGGGAAAATATCGCAAAGGAGAGGTATGAGGGCGGGGGAATAAAGTTTGTGTCGCGTGGGGAAAAGGTGGGATTAACAGAGGAGGAAGGTGAGGAACACCAAAGGCAACCCCCGTGACGAACCTGGGTAACAAGCAGTGATGTGAGATTAGCATGCTGAAAGATGATATGAGCATCTCAAGGATAGTGCTGCCAAGAGCGAGGAGAAGTTGTTATGCACAAAAGGGGGCGAGTGGGGAAAGTTGAGATTAAAGCATATTGCAGCCTTGGAACCGATGGAACTCGTCGAGACTGCTGAACCCATGAGAAGATTTGATATTGTGAATAGCAAAATGTTTGGCGCCGTAAGGTTTGTCGTTTTTTATTTTTTTATTTACCCGAGCCCGGCACAGGGATTGGCAAATTTCGGGGTCTCTGGGGTGACCCACCCAGAATGCACCTTAGAACATCGCTCATCCTCCATCTGATGCGCTCGACCAGCCACATGCACAATCAAAACGTTTTATTGCTTTCAGGCAGACGAGCGTATCAGACTACCTATTCCTCTAACCGAGTAATCTCACAATACTCTAGGACACTCGACACTCTGATTTAGAATGGAGGGACGTCAGGGCATGTGGAGGTATCGTAGGTTGCCAACCACTGTCCGGTGCAATGATAAGGGGGAAGCGGGGAAAGAAAAGCCAACAAAGGGTTGGCGGTGACAAGAGAATTTCCGAAATTCACTCCTGGTATCATATTTAAGGCAGCCCGGAAATCTCCGCATACAGGGTCACAAGCTCGTGAAAAACATCAACTTTTTCCCGACACGTTAGCGATAAGATCGGCCAGATCTCATTCACCGATAGCATGTCAAACTGAACCTATCGTGGACAGAAAGCTGCAAATAGGGGGGATTAGGGAGGTTCTGCACCCAGGTGCGCACCACGTTTCCACAGCAATGGGGTGGCAAAAGTGGCTGGTGATGGTTTTTTTTATAATGCACACTAATTTTTGCACCATGTACATGCAGAGGTGATGCAGATGTGTTTACATAGTAAACAGAGGTTTTCTTAGTCAGGATACGGTAATAAAGGCATAGCTTATACAACAACAGGTAAGTGTGTAGAGACAAACATCATCCATGATAAATATCCTACGATGAACTTGAACATTTCACAAGTCACAACTATCCTCCTTGCTGCTGCGGCAGCAGATCTTAATACAAGAAAAATCTTAAATTCAATCATCCTCCACCAAAGGCAAAAGTCTAAAACTGTTCAAGTCTTACTTTTCAGTCCTACAAGAGTCCTTAAAAACTATTCACAAAAAAGAAAAATACCTATATCAGCAGTTTGATTGGAGTATTGAAGACCAAACTGATGATTGGTGTATTGAGTTTTTAAGGTTCAATAAAGCTCAAATTATAAAGCATGCAAATCTATTATGAATACCAGATACCTTCCATTACTGCTATTGTGCTAACCCCGTTACTGCCCTCGCCGTTACTCTCTAAAGATTGTCTTATCCGAGTCGCCTGAAGCAAAGAATTAGCATTTTTGGTCACGAGCGCGGGTGGCTTTCCACCATATTTAACAATATATGTTCTCACCTATACTAATATTTTGCCAGAAAGGTTCACTGGGATTCAGAGTTCCTATCGCCTCAATGGTTAGAAAAATATTGCACTGCAATTGCAAATAAAGGGGAACCAACTGGCCTGATTTGGAGGTTTATTGATGGAACCCAGCAGCCAATTTGCTGACCTGAATCAGAAACCGCTGATCAAGCACTATTTTACAGTAGCTACAAAAACCAATATGCGATGCAGTTTCAGGCAATTACCACTCCAGATGGGTTAATTGCAAGCCTATCTGGGCCATGGGAAGAACGGTTAGGTGATTGGGCAATATAGGTTAATTCAGGAATTGGAAAAGTACTGAGTCAGTATGGAAAAAATGTATTTGGGGAACAGCTTTATGTTTATGGTGATGCTGTATACTTAGTTGAAACTGGGGTCATTGGTGAATTTTCAACACTAGCTGGCAGTGTTTTAAGTCAGGAAAAAGCAGTTTTTAATGCCTATATGGCAAAGCAAAGAATGTCTGTTGAGTGGAGCTTCGGAAAGGTTTTACAATATTTTACATTTTTGGGTTTTAAGTATGGTTTAAAAGTAGGACTTTCACCAATTGCAACATGGTATTTCACAGGAGTTTTGTTGACAAATTGTCATACATGTTATTATGGTTCAAATACCACGGATACTTTTGGCTGTTCTCCTCATAGTATTAAAGAGTATCTTTGTACTAAATTATCAAAAGAATAAGTATTATATTCTAAGTACTAAACTTTGATGCCATTAAAGAAAGAACCTGATTAAGTTTTTCCTTAACTTCTCCTGACTGCTCCTCAATCCATTGAATTCTCTCTTCCAGTCTTTTTATTGGCTGTGACGACTCATTTGACCCTTCCGATTCTGAACTTACTCCAACTACATTCCCGATTATATGCTCCCAGCGGTCCATCTGCTCTGCTTGCATATCCCTTAGTGAAGGTAAAGTTTCTTGGTCACTGTTCTTCATCGAGCTGAGTATCTGACTTGTTATTTGTCGCTTTGAGGTAAAGGGTTTTATTATAGTAATATCACTATCGATTAATATTAAATTAGTAGTTTTATAACAATAACTGTAGTTTATGGAAAGATTTTTATACTTACTGGAGGCAGGGTCAGTATCTTCTCCGGTAGCGGTCCCCCCACTGTGATCCTCTAATCTAACCAGCCCCTCCAACTCATCAGATCTTTGCTTCCGCTTTTTGGCAAAGCTGTATATTATATCTTCTCTTGTCTGAATCGCTTCTCTTTTTTCAGCTTCTACTTTTGATCCTTTTTCTGCCTTTTGCTGCTTGATCAACCATTCATGGTCATCACAAACCTCAATCTAGTTGTCCAATACTTGATTATAGTTGGTATCAGTACGTGCAACTCCACCTTTCCCTCTCTCATCTCGAAGTTGAGATCGTCTCATTGCCTCCCTTCTTTGAATAAAGCCCTTGACATTAACATCAATGCCATACAACTCTCTATATTTGACTCTCATAAAGTCATAAAACTTTCCCTTGCTCTTTATATACAGATGAAAATGGTTACAACAAAGTTGGACCAAGCGGGCTTGAGAGTCATGATCTTTCAGAATAGTATGAGGTTTATTGGTACCTGGTAGTGATTGGGTAATTCCTTGAATTAAAGGTTCTTGCATAAAGCATTGGGATAGAATTGAGAATGTGGATGTTGTAGAAAGTATAGAGGATGTCAGAGTTGCAGAGGTGATAGAAATTGTGGAAGGCGTGAAGGGCATGGAAAATCCAGAATGGGTGGAGAGTATGGGGGGGAACGTAGAATGAATAGATGATAGAGGGAGAACGTAGGTAGTTGCTGGAACAAACTCAGACTCGGAAAATTGCGGTACTTGTTCTGAGACTTTCATAGTTTCCTAGTCTCATAATTTACTGTTAGTAATTGTTACTCTCAGTAAATGTATTATAAAAGACAAGTTCCTAATACAATACATTTTTCCGAGAACTTTGCTCAATCTCGTTCAATTTCCTACCAGCATTGGACTCATTCATCTTGCTCATCATAGTACCGCCAGCTTAAGAGAATGCTCTATAACTCCTGAAGGTCAGTAAAACTTTTAACTCAATTCCTAACCAGTGCAAGGATTCAACTATACCCAGCCAGATCCGAGTCACGACACAAATCCTCCTAGTCTCCAGGTAAGAACTCTCTGAAATCCAGCGTACATACAAGCTGACAGAAATACCAAGATCTCAAAAAAAAATAAGAATAGGATAGACAACCAAAATGAGTTTTAAGTTGATAGTAACCTTGATGTTAGAATAAGGGTGGATTGAGCGGTGAGCAGGAGACACATGATAAACAAACTGAAGTCACATGTTTTGTTTCGTCATTCTTACGATTGAACTGTGCAACAAGCAGAACCCCCTTAGAATTGATGTATGATTTTGGCACATAGACCATCCTGTTATCGTGCGCACCCCAATGCAGAACCTCCCTAATAGTGGATTCGGCGCATTGGTCGCTAGGCCAAGAAATACTCCGTAAGGAGTTTAGTGGGAATAGCCGTAGACTACTCTCTCTCTGTGCTAGATGGGTAACTGTGCCAAGGTTCCCACCACTTTGATTGATGCTAAGTGATCTCTAAAGCAGGTGGCACTATGAGCGAGTGCCTAACAGTTCAATTATAGTAACAGTTCAACAATAGAATTTTTTACATAGAATGAAAAAAGTGTATTGCAGAATACCCAATTTCACAACTCAAGAGCTTTTGCAACTTTTTCCTTTTATTTTTCTCTTTTACTGACTTTCTCATTTACTTTCAAATCTCCCTCCACTACTACTTAACCTTGTTATCCACTTCTTTCTCAATATTGTTGTTAGGTGGACACAATCTAATAGACTTCAGAATTGTCAAGGCCAATCAAAATTCATTTCTGTAGATAGAGATTGTCCTGGAAGGCTGGAGTTTACTCTTCTCGTTTATGATTACCAAGAGCGAAGTAAATTTGGTAATGTAAAATAGAATGGTAGAACTATATTATATCATTAAGATCACTTATCCATTGCTTGATGATGTCTAAAGCTTGGGAGGCACTTTGATATTTCTATTCTAAGTCTAAGTGTTTGTGGACTACATCTATTTATTATACAACTATGTATCATTGTGATTATAACTCTCAATATCAGGTATTCTTGAAAGGTACAAACACCTGGAGACCCAGAAATTCACCACACCCTCTTTGCTAATTATGATATAACTAACTCAGAACTATACTGTTCCCAATAGTAGTTATCCGATGTTTAGAGTCTTTAGACTTGTGGACTAGTTTTCAAGTGGAGCTGAGTTGGCTCCAATTGTCTTCGTTATTGATAAAATGATTAGTTTCATTTAAATGTGTAATGATCCCACCTTGAATGGTTAGTTCTTGGTGACGTGGAACGATACTTCACTTCTCTTTCTTCTTGTTTCTTTATCTTATGATAGCGCTAGGCCTCTGCCTGTGGTACCAATAGTACAAGACCTCTGTCATCCATCGGGAATGCCTATCGTAAGCTTTCTCTAACTCTTCTTCATGAAGAACCTTCCATGGCGTAACAATAACGTTGCAATAAAGATAAAGATCCTAAAGGTGTTTTATCTTTGTTAAAGTAATAAG